CATCAGGGTGGAAGCCCACTCACAACCAACTTAGGCTAGTCAAAGAGAGAGATACGAACCAAGCGGCAACACGAAACCAGAACACCAAAACACAAACCAACACCAAACCCAACCCAACCAAAAGGAGCAAGGTTCGTACCTCAGGTTGGCTGCGTAAGCCGTAAGCCAGTGGAGGAGAGTGAAACCAGGTGAAACGGAGGGGCAACGAATTCTCCTTTGCACTCAGTTCATCACATTCAGGGCATTGTCCTCTTTCTTCTAGAGAGTCCGTGAGATTGGTGCGCTGCTGTCGAACTGGTCGCATTCATCTTGCGGTGATATGCGATGAAGGTTCAGCAATGCGGCCAAGGTGCCTTACTTCAAGTGAGGCATCATCGCTTGAAGCACAAAGTCGAAATGCATGGATGGACAGCTCGGATCCAAGAAACGAGACGATTCAGCGCGCATTTGCACCTCACAATATCAGCAATTTTCTGAGGACACGACGAAGGAGATAGTGGGCTGCGAGGCACTTGAGGCACCGGGACAATGACTGAGTCAGCTGAGTCAACTCCCGAAGACTATAAATCAACGAAAGCCAGAAACAGCCTGCCACGAGCAGACATGGAGGGTGCAAGGGAGCACCGTACCGGCATGGTTGCCACCACACAGAAAGGCTAATGCAGAAGCTTCATAAGCTAAGCGAGCTAAGCTGAGCGAGTCACCGGCTGGCATAGTGATAGGGGAAGGTTCAATCTCGATTGGCGCCGAGCTGGTGTGCCACCTTGATGCCTTCTTGAAACATGCAAGCCCCGTGACCTGAGTGAAACAGTGTGAGACGCCGTTATCCTATGTCCTAGTTTCTGTACAGGTCTGCACTCTTTGTATCCATCAGGACGCCACTCGGGCGGCAGCCTGGGCACTGTCTAGCTACTCAGTGTTGCTGGATGAGGTTGCTTGGCATACTCGTCGTATTGCAGAACCTGCACGTGGGTGCAAGCCTAAGCAGTGACTCGGGCAACAGTGGCATGAACGGCATGGCTAAACCCGTCCCGGCAACGGAGGCGCAGACCCCAGCTCCCAATCAAAACCAACGAAGGAAGGGGCAGTGGCAGAGCCCATCCTTGCCATGGAAGTGCAAACCCCTGCCCCCACAGAAACCGAACGGGCAGAGACCGAACCTGCTGCCGATCCTGACAATGACGAAGGGGATGCCGAAGAGGAACCTACCTTGCTCCAACCGGGCAAGGATGCTTCTCTTTCCAGCAAGGTCTCCTGCTCAGAGCAAAGGAAACTTACTCCAAGAGAAGTATAGGCAACAAATATGAGACCATCTCCAAGTGGCTCCTCACAGGACTTGCAGTTGCGATTGCGAGATCTGGAACATTCTGTCTAAGCACAGAACGCTCACAACAACCCCTCGAAACCTGCTAAGTGCCTATTTTCGACGGGGCTATCCTGCTGAGGAAAGGGACAAGACGAAGAAGCCATATGCCCAACCTCATCCTGATCCTCTCTCTGCCGCCTCGTGGCAAGCTACTGTCTTGTGGATCAGCTACGCACGCTATGTCCAGGAAACAGAAAGGTTCAACGCAGCCGGGCAAGGGATGGATACTACCATACCATTAATCAGGACAATCCTATCCAAGCCACTCCTGACCAAGAGCCAGATACTCAATCGAGCTTAGAAATTTTGCTGGGCCGGAAGAACACTGTGCTCCCAGCTCCTGTGGACTTGAGAGGTGTAAAGGATTGCCACCCTGGCAGTTGCTGCTAGGACACCCACCATGGAGGTAGAAAGGCCAACGCTGCTCAAACGGTAGGCAGCATCCCATGACGCTGTCCTGACCGCAGTAGCTAGTCTTGAGCTTTCTAGTAGGCAGCTGGCGGCTGGGGGATGACCCCGTCATGGGAGTGCGTTGATACTCCATGCAATATGCAACTAACAGAGGCTCATCTCTTCCCTGCAGTTGGCTCAAACCAGCGATAGGTAAGGACCTGTTGCAGGCAGCCGTCCTGCTCTCAACTGATGGACGATACTGCGCCGTGGCTACGCAGTGAAGAAGAAGACCTTGCTGGCACCAGCCAATGTACTCTGCTTTCACTACTATGGCTGGTAACGAGATTGAAATAGAAGTGCCATTAAGCATCCACCACAACTGGGAAATTAGTGGATTTCGCGCGGGCGACGCCCTGTATGGAATCTTTAGCCGTTTTCAACTGCCAGGTTGGAACTACTGTTCCTGTGGCTGTTGTACTGTTCCATGTATTTTCCAGTGTGTCACAACTCCAAAACCAAAAATGCAAAACTAATTGCGCCGAAGGCTGCCGAAGGGAGGTGAAAACACGTAAGCAAGCGGTCTCTTTTCTATCACGCTTGAGCCAAACATGTCATCGAAGATATACATCAGGTGAGACCTACCGGGGTTAAGTAGCTAGTAGAAACAAGCCATTTGGAGATCAAGCATCGAGAAATGAATGAGGGCAGGCAGCGCAAAGCAAACTTGAGACCCACACTGACCCACACATAACCACAAAATACAACTTGAGCCGCAAATCTAGATACGACCCAAAACTGTCAGGTGTCGGGTGAACAAGAAAAAACAGACTTGGTTCCTCTTGTATTTAAATCAGCATGATGCGCGCGGCGGCGCGCGGTGGTGCGCGGTGGTGCACAGTGGAAGAAAATGGCAAAGCTTCTAGTAGCACAGAGAAGGTGTCACAGTCTAGCTCGCAAACATTTCCAAAAGAACAAGCGCCTCATTGTCAGCCCTTTATTTCTCAACACACATGGTCTCACGGGCTGTGCACACTGCAGTCCGCAGGCTGCTTGCCGGCAAACAGCTCAAGGTCTGGCCCAGCTGGTCAGGGAAACGAAACATCCATCTACGGTAGGTACAGTCTAGTTCTCACAACATGTATGGCACGTTTATGACATATTCGTGAACCAAAACAAAACAGTGAAGCCAGCACATGGCAACCTTGCCAACCTGCGCCTGTGGTCCTACTCTCACACTCTCACAGACACAGCAGCAGCCACTGCCAAAACAAAGGGTGAAGCTCTCTTCGAAGGTTCCCGCAAGAGCCCAGAGTTAAGCCAGCCAACCCTGACATAGTATGGCACTACGACATGCATCCCTCAGCCTTGCCGCCCCGAGCTCTCAGCTCCCTGAAGATCCCTCACCAAAAACAGCAATCACAGCACACACCGCAGCCACTTCCTGAAGGAGGGCGTTGGGGGCCGGACTGCTTCAAGCTCCGCCCACTGCTGTCTGCGAGCTCTCTGCGGTGACCTCCATCTCTTCATGCTTCTGGCTGGCGCCCTCAGCTGCCGGCGCGTTGGGTCGCTGAGCAAGGTCCGGGGAGTCCGGGGCAACTGGGACAATGCCCTCAGATGAAGTGGCCAAATGTTTGACTTGCTCGGATTTCCAGATGCCAAGCAATTTTTCACGGTCAGCAACTTTGGAAGTCAAGTCACTGGGGCCAGTTCCCAGCAAGAAAGATTTGGCCAAACTGAAGCAGACTGTCCGCCCAACGGCCGCTGTTGCTTCGCACCAAGCAGCCGGCCAGAACAAAGCCTCACCAACAGTCAAATTGCGAGCATAAGAGCGCCCCTCCAACTCTTCAACTTGCGCAGGGTTCAAGGCCTTCAGGTTTGCCTGGATGTCCTCTGCAGGCAAAAGCTTCCCATGCGCATCTTTGCAAAAGCTCAGGTCAGGACATGGAAAAAACAGCAGAACCTGTTTCTGACCTTTCACAGGCACTTCCCACGAGGCCAAGTCCTCGTACTCGAAGCCCATGAAAGGCTTTGGCCCTTGGCGTGCGGTGGGACGTGCGGTGGGCGTGCGGTGGCGTGCGGTGGCGTGCGGCGGTCAAAAATCACTACAATTGTGACAAATTGTGAAGAAAACTAATAAAAAAATCAACAAAACACACCTGTCTAACACAATTAGCTCTCACACAACACAACCTTACACCAAAACTCTTCCAAATGTGCAAACAATGTCTGAAATGTTTGTGTTTGTTGCTTTTTCCATGTTTTTGTTGTTTTGTCTGTAGTTCTTGTAGGTTTTGTTGGTTTCTGTCCAAAGGATGCCAAAATGCAAAGCAATGGGTTGCAAAAGTGTTTCCGCTCCGCCACAGCTGACAGAGTTGAGTGCAAACCCTTAGTGTACATTCTGCTTTTTCAAGCAGCGCTTGCACAATGCCAACTGCACAATATTCTCAGGCTTGGAAGATTTCAAGTGGCTGCATTTTGCACTTATGTGTACAACATGACTGCCTTCAACTTTGCAAAAAGCAAATGTCCTCATGAGCTCCGTTTCCGAATCAGTTGATGCCGCCTCACCCTTGAAGATGCGAGGCTGCCGAGGAAGGTCGCTAGCAAAAAGTTGTTTCCAGCAGCATGCCGCCACGGCCATGCCAAGGCATGTTCCAATTGCAAGAAGACAAAGCGCCAAGCTTTCGAAGGCAGATAGCATCCACAGGCTTCAGGCTAAAAAAATGAATCCAAAACAGGGAGCTGAGGCAAGCTGAGGCAAAACGGCTTCGGTAGACCAAACTGCTAAAGAACTTGCGTGGGACTGGGGGCCACAGCGGTAAAAAATGTTGGAGTACATGTTGTGAACTGCGACGCACCGAGTGGTAACGCACTGCCACACTGAAAATCAAACATCTTGCATTGCTGTGAGCTTTGTTTTGCAAGCAGCCAAAGCAAAGTCTTTATTGACTAGAGCTAGAGCTGCTCGAACTAGAGTCAGAACTGGAAGTGGAAGTGCTGCTTGAATCTGAACTAGCAGCACTGCCATCATTCACCTGCCCAGCTCGAGCCTTTGGCTTCGGCTTGGCCGCGGCTGCATGGGATCTTTTTTTGCCGCTTTATCCGGGTGGTCTGGGGCCTCTGCGATCCATTCTTTCAGCTTTGTCAACGCAGCCTCAGAATCACCGTCAGTGACAGGCAAAGTCCTAGTGCAGTGGGTCTTGCTGCCACTAGGGTTCACTTTTGGATTGTGGTAGCTGCATCAGACTTGCCAAGAAGTAGTGGCAGACTTAAAAGTGAATTTGTGCGACAGCTGGGTGGTTGGGTCGTCATACCAAAATCCAATGACATCAGAAGCTGCAGCCCGAGGGTGGCGGTGCTCGGGGCGCTGAGAACTTGCAGCAGCAATTGAGTTTTCCTCAACAGTCTCACCCAGCTCGCCCACTGGCACTGGCAAATCCTGACTGCTGAGCCCTTCCCTTGGTTGGCTGTTGGCCTCTTCTGGAACATCTGCGGCCCCCCCAAGCAAGGGCGCATCAAACCCATCATCAAGGAGCATCTCCAAATGAATCACGTCTTCTGAGACTGGCTCAATGAAAGTTTGGCTATCTGCTGGAGCAGCTTCCTCCACTGTTGCTGCTTCTGGCTGACTTGGAGACATGGCCAAAGCTGAAGGCGGAGCCAGAATTGCTTGAAGTGAGCTTGGCGGCACCGGTGCGCCATCTGGCTGCGCTCTCCGGGCACGCTTGGGTCGAGGAGGGATCTTGCGATCTGCTTCCTCCAACTCCAAATCCAAATCCATGATGACATTGTCAGGCAGCTGATCACGCACTGGTGGAAATCTTGGCAAACCTTTCGTGTCAAAGAACCTGGCATAGTAACTGGCTGGTTGCCCGTGCAAAATCTGTGTCACACCAACTTGCTGGAGCTCTTCCAGGTGGACCAACGCCAACAAATAGTTCTTAGACATAGTTTTGTCAAAAAACGCTTGTCTTCACACGGCCCACCACGCAAAGCCATGGCCAAGTCAAGGACACGATCAGCAGAAAGCCTCTGACGTTCCCGAACAAGAGTCCAGCTCTGACCCTCCAAGAAAGAAATCATTTCAAAAAGCGTCCAATCATGTTTGTCAGCAGGGCGGGGTCGAGCATGACTGACACTACGCTTGTTTTTCAAGACAAGGCATGGCCGGACCCGCTTGCCGCCAGCTTCAGTGAACTGCCACAACAAGGGCTCATCATCCTCATTTTCCATTGTTGTCACAAAGCCCCTGTCTTTCAAATTGTCCAAATACGCTCTCTGCGCATCATCCAAAGAAGATGAACCTCTGGAGCCGATTGCATAGAAATTATCAGTGTTTGCAAAAGCCTGTGCGTTCACCATCCTCTCAATAACCTCCATTGACTCATGAAGCGAATCAAGCGGGGCAAGCTCACATAAGTCTTGCCCTGGCAAGCGTTGAAGGTCCAGAAAATCAAGCAAAACAAACTCGTGATGCGCGCACACATCCCAACAGCACCAATCTGCAAGCACAACATCGTCGTCTGTCTTTCCAACGTCGAAGCAAAAGCTCTGTAGGTCAGGCCCACCAGTGTTCACTGGATCCAAAGACAGCAAAACTTCCCGCTTACTGTTCCACCGCTCGGTGCGCTCGATCTGCCAATAGACTTGGACAATCTGGTGGGAGGCTTTGAACTGCTTGACATTTGGGCTCAGTAAAAAATTGGCAAAGTTAAAGGCAAAGACGACCACGTGACAACTGGGTCTGCTCTGGCAGCGTCAACCTCTTCTCCACCTTCTGCGTCACCAATCCCAAGGTCCACATCTGAATCTGGTCCATCTTCCAACGCTGCGCGCCCCAAGGCAGGAGCAGGCCCAAGCAAAGCAGGAGCGCTAGTCTGCACAGGAACTTTCAAAGTGCCCTGGAAATGTGACAGAGGCCCCAATGCCTCAGTGTTGTCTAATGGCTTCCCTGGCAAAGAGAAAAATGTACTGTCCTTCAACCCCATAATTGTGGGCATGGCTTGTCCATGAGCTCTAAGCGTGAGAGCTCTCAAAACATCCTCCGCGCTTGCAGCTGGAAGGGCTGCGTGACCTAGTTTTGAAGCAGTTGCTTTGGCTTCTTGTAGCCTCTTCTTTCGCTCAGCCGCATCAAGCCGGATAACTTGAGCGCACACCTCTGGCAAGCGCAACTGCGATTGGGCATCTAAGTGGTATGTGACCAGAACAGCGGTTTTTTGATGGACCTGTCCAGGAATATCTTTGACGGCCGGGTGCCCGCTCAATCCAAGCAAGTGCAACAATGAGTGCAAATCTCGCATTGAATGGAACTCGTGGAACCTGAGGAGCTTTGTGAGATCACTAAACATAGCACTGTCTCTTTGCAACCTTCTGGTGATCTCTGGCAGGCGTAAATTCAATGATACAGAAGCCCCCGAAAATCTGCGGGCCCTGGTGACAAACCTTTGAGCCTGTGCATGCTTCGATTCAACAGAACGCTCCACAACACTGATTCCAGCAAAGCGGAGAACTGACAATTTGAACTCAAGAGCCTGGTCAAACAAAACCCCACCACTTCGCAAAGCCTCTACGCCAGCGCGGAGACGTGGCAGCAAAAACAATTTGCTCAATCTGTGTTGCCACTCCAGTGGGCTGCTGTCAAATTGCGCGATGCAGGACTCTGCGACGGCAGCTGCTTTGGCAACATCTGGACACAGTAGCCCCGCAAGCTTGTGAGGAATGATCTTCCAAAAAGCAGTCTTTTGTGTGATTTCTGCCTGCAACGTGCTTTTCCCAACCATCCAATCACGCATCAGCAAATCACGGTCCTGGGTTGGGCAACAGCAGCAACATTGATCATGAAAATGACCCTGTTTTGTCAACATGTTTTTTGGAACCCAAGCAATACCAAAAAACACCACGAAACCATACAAAAGAAAACACTCCGTCCTCGACCGTCAAAAGAACGGGCAGGCTCTCCAGCATCGCACGACAGCTTTGCTCCAGCAGGTCTGCTAGCAAATAATCATGGTCACCACTAGCCATTTCAGGCGCTCGAGCGCCCTTCATGGGGCATGACAACAAATGTGCTTCTGCTTCCAAATCCAACAAGCCAGACCCAAGCATGTAATCACGCTGCCTTCTCCACCTCCCCTTAAGGTGCGGCAACGGGTGGCAAGGACATCCCTCACACCAGTTTGAAAAATGTTCCGTGGCAGAGTCTAAAAACAAAAGCATGTGGCATCTGGCACAAAACAGAGGCTCAGCAATTGCAGCGGAGATTGACGACAGTTGGCCTTTCAAGGTTTCGCTTTCAGACCCATCAGAATATTTCCTAGTGTCCCAAGTTGTGGTCAACAACACACGGACTGACAGGATCTCCTCAAGGACTCTGCTCGTCGAACCCCACCGGGCAGTGTAAAGGCTATGAAAATTACCTTCTTCCAGCTGCGCTCGAAAGGATTTGTTCATCTCTACGTTTTCCCGCAAACACTTTTCCACATACCTCTGTCGAGCAGGGCGGTTGTGCAGAAATGAGGCTACTGGCCTCAGTTGCTCTACCAGGCTGTCCCAGCATGGCAACTGTGTGCACAATTCCTCGCAGGCATTGTGACAAATGTGGCACATACCTGCCACAGATAGGGTAAAGGGCCAAAGCGAACCATCTGGTGGCAAATTCGACCCTGCCCTTGAAGGCGCCGCTGCCTCAGCCGCTGGTTGGACACCGGGCCGGGCGGGGCCTTCATGGACAAGATCTTCGCCATCGTCGAACTCAACATGGATGGGTAATGGGCCTGCTTCATCATCGCAACACTCGATAGATATGTCATCGGTGGGCGGTTGGAAAGGGGACAAGTCCAGGGATGGAAGTTCAGCAAACCCCGCCTCTGTGCCTTGATCCGTGGTGATACTCACTGTTGCAGAGAGGAACTCCCGAAACTCCTCCATTGATTCAACCTCCAATTTGATTTGGTGGAGTAGGGCATAGATCTTCATGCGCAAACTCAGGGCAGCTTTGCCAAGACCCGCTACAGGAAAAATGTGCTCTTCGAAATTGTTTTGAATGAATTGGCTGGACTCTTGCCTTTGCAATGCAATTTCCTGCTGTTGCCTTTCAGAGCCTTGGCTGCATGAGTTGCGCGTGGCCTGCAGTTGAACAAAATGAGTCCCAAAGGCCTCCAAGCATGACAAGGCTATGGACCTTGATTGCGATCCTGCCCCCCTTGTGGGCTGGCATCTGTCATGAGGTAATGAAAGCTTCCAACGTTGAGCAGCTCAGAAAGAACTGCGTCACAAGTGCGAAGATGTTTGCTTGATTTGTATTCTTCGGTGTGTTTTTGACGCATGTACCGCATGAAAGCCACATCAACCAAATACCTGTGCCGGTATATTGTTGACGCAGATGGCACAGTTGTCGCGCCAATGATCGAACTCAAATGCGAAGCCAAACTTGGGAAGCACAAGGTTCCAGCGTGCAAAAGGGTATCACGAAGTCTTTTGGCATCCTTGATGTTGTCACAAAGCAAAACAGTCTTCAGCATGACCCATGCTGCGTACTGGCCCCTTTTGTTTGAAAGCGCATAGCCTGTAGTGAGGTCGTGCGACACACCTTCGGCAGACAGAGAATAGCTGGCATGCAACAATCCTTCAATCTGCTCTCGCAACTTGGCCTCATCCCCAGGAAAATTTGCTAAGACAGCTGGCACCCACCTCTGCACCATGCAAGCCCAATCTTCAAGCACGTTTCATGTTCTCTCATGATCCAAAAAACCAACAATGTTTGCTTGGTGGGCGCACCTTCAGGAAACAACGCGCCATACTCATCCAAAACATGTTGGCGGCGCCGCCGCTGCCTGTCTACCCAAGCAGACTGTCTGACCATCTCAACACGAGCAGTTTCGAAGAAAGGCACATTTTCCCACAAATTGGCTGAAACTAAGGCAGCGATGGTATCAGGGCATACCGCCAGCGCAACTTCAACCTTTGCAAAAAAAATCGGCATCGCAGTTCCTCGCAAAAGCATGTGAAGCTGCGAGGTCCAAAGAACACCCTTGCGTGGAAGGCAACTGTTGCCAAGCCACATCTGGGACCACTGTAAAAATCCTGCAGTTTTGTTCAGGCTGCCCTGTTCGGTGCCAATGTTGCAAAAAGCACTCTGCAAGTCTTGCTTTTTGGAGGCCAATGCCTACCACATTTGTCGCTCGTAAGAAAAACAAAGATCTAAACTCGTGGGCTTTGATGAGGACAGTCTCTTCGGGGCCCCAGGTCTTGAAGGCGAGGTGATGTGTTTGCCTGGTTCGATCCTTGCCAAACCAATGACCACGTCAAATTGCTGATGGGCACGAAGCAACCCCGAGCAATCCTGAGCAACCTGTGACGAAAATAACTTTTCCTTAACAACACTGTGGGCCAACACAGCTTTGTCAGCTATGAGTTTTCTTTTCCTCATCACTCCATCACTGTCTTGGTAGCGCTGAGTGCAAACCGCGGCACTCCCACTTGAAACCAACCACACATAAGTCGTTGGGAAGGCAGTCAACGTGTGGAGGTTCGAAGTTCTCACAGTCCGAACTCATTGCCTCTGACATCTCCATTTGCCATGCCAAACTACACTGGACAGAATATGGGTACTACAAACACAAAGGCGCAATGCCAACATAGAACTTGCGTCCGACTATTTATCCTCAAGGAGTGCAGTGACCCTACGTGGCATGCGGTGGTGCGCGGTGGTGTGCGGTGGCAAATGATGGCACAAGGGTCTAGATATGCCAGGGTGACAAAAAACATATACGCAACACGTCATCATCTCTACACCATGCAAACGCCTGCGGTGAAGCTGACAAAAAAAGTGTTGGAGCGGAAGTCTAACCTTTGGTATTGTGAGTAGTTGATACACACAGTCTGCAATGTGCAAGGTTGGCGGTGCTTTGAACTTTGACATGTGAGAAAATGCCAAG